TACGACTCCTGTCCTGACTCCATCTGCTAATTCATCTTCCTCTCACCACAGCAGCCACCTACCAGGAGGTTCTCTTCTCCCCTATGCCTTTTACATTATGGATATCCAGGATGTAAATCCAAAGTCCTCAGTGTTGGCTTTTTCTTATTTAGCTAGTTGCTCACAATCACATGGAATAGCCTCCAAATTAACTTCACCTGCCATATCCCTGGGCTTTACAGTATCAGAATGCATTTCATAGTCCAGTGACTCTCAAACTGTGGTAATTATATCACCGGTATGAGGAAGCTATAGTATCTCTGTACCTGTACACATCCCAGACAACAAGCTCGTCACTCCATGTGCCTCTGCATACCTAGGATAAGAACTCCTAGGGTAACCCCAAAACCCTCAGATAACGCACAGAAATTAAAGACAGGAACAAGTGCAATATAGACATAGGGCTTCATGTAATCAGAGAGAGAGAAGAATTCGAGGTTAACATCACACCATGTTACACCACTCCACACTGCCACACACAGAAAGTAAGGAGGCTGCAGAAAAAAGGACTGTTATGTTGCAGATTGTTCAATTGTTACACACAGGGAATGAAATTTTCTCCAAAAATTGTTTTTTAGTTTAGTTTGACATTGTATTCAAGAGGAGATAAAGAACAGCGCCTCTATGTAAAATACAGCGTGGGAGACCTGGAGCTGTTACAGAGCTGAGTTATTTCTGACACTATCACCACTGCAGTCATGTATTATTCCTCCTTAATCTTAGTGGTATCGGGCAAACTAAGGTTGGTTCTCCATGGCTAGAACATATAAAACAACAAATTAAGGGCACTAAGAACTGTCATATCCTATTTAAAAGAAACAACCAATAAAGAACCTGTGCAGTGACTACTGTTGGCAAGTTATTTCACAGCTCTGTCTTCATGGTGCAAATCTACAATAATGTTACAGGAAGAACTAAGAAGGGTTGAAGACTACTTGATCACAAATTTATGGTTGGCTGTTTTTTTGGGGTTTGTTTAGTTTTTTGTTTATAATATAATTAATTTCTGCATATACCTACATTATAATTTCTTAGTAGCATTGGAAAGGGGAAAGTAGGCTGTCATAAACAGAAAGATTTTGCTATTTCATAAAAAACTCCATTTTTCTCCCACAATGATGCTTTGGATCACACTTGCTTGCAATGACAGGGAGTCAGAGTTCACAGAAGATAGGCAGGCAAGAGAGACAGAATTAAGTTCTGTCCATTTAGACACATCATTCTAACTCACTTCTTTAATACGATACTCTTGGTTATGGCCATATAATGTACAACTATCATATTGGGCAGCAGGTGGTGAAGCTGGTGACTTGGGTGACAAGTGATTGGGGCATATATAGGGAAGCGTTAGACAACTACATTTGCAGCAAAGAACATTACAACACAACTAAAATGCCAACATATATCTCTTTCTTAAAGGAGCCCATGGAAGCATTCACCCCTCCTCACTGAAGAATCAATAAGCATCCTCTGTACCATCATCAATCATCCCACAGACAATACTGAAATGTTTACAGAAGAAAGAATAAAGAAGAAAAGGAGGAGCACGGGGAAAGAAGAAAGGGGCAATTCAGAAAGAACATCTTGGTTAAATGCCAGCTGCAGTGACAAGAAAAGTAGATAGCAACAGTAGGAGAATAGGCTAAGAACAGTCATGCCCTTCAGAGGACAAAATGACATTCTTTAATTGCTCACAAGGTACTTAAAATGAGGTGTCTACCTCCAGCAGACTGAAGATTAATCTTCATGGAACAGTTTGCATGATGAGTTGTTATATGTTGGGAAGTACAATTTTAGGTGAAGCAGTTGATAGAATCAAATCAGTATTTCAAGCAAACAAGGGGAGTGAAATGTATTTACTGTGAGTTAAAGTGATCCAGATCATTACACTGATGCCAGAGCTTTCAAAACTCTATTGTGGCGACACATAACAGGCAAAAAAACCCGTAACAGCTTCTTTGCTATTTTTCCTTCAGGGATAAGAGCATGAGTAGTTATTAACTGGCTTCCTTTTCCTCTTCAGATTGCTGTGAGATTCTGGTTTGGTTTGCAAATGATTTAGGAAGGTAGAAGTGCTTTTAATCCTTGTGGGCAGGGAATGGATAGTAAGTATAATATTCTGAAATTCAGTTACAGGTACTCTGCCAAAGCCTAGACAGATATATAAACTCAATCTCTTGCAAGCATCTAGTGAGACACACGTGCACTTGAGAGCTACAGTCATGCTGAAGGAAGCTAAACCCTCTGACTGTAACAGGCCTTGTAAAACCACCACTGTAGAAATGGGGCCCAATAGGAGTGTCCTTGTATTTTGCTAGTACACACATTTGCATTTAAATTTTTAGTTCCAACTGACAAAATTTCAGTTATTCACCTGCCATGGATATCTATTTACTTCCACTTGCCTCCCTCCATAATCACTTTCTTTGGTAAAGGATAGAAAGTTGCTTCTCCTCCCTCAGCACCCCTCTCCTCCCACTTTAGCCAAGTAACTTTTATTGGCAATGCTCCAATGAAACAGTTTGCTGATGAGGATGTAGTCAGCCTGCCTATTTCACATAAGAATTTAGCATATGATAGAGCCAGACAGGCAGCCATCCATCAACTTGGCACCACAAAACCATTTTAAAAGTATCCAATTAGCTATGTCAGAAATGCAATTAAAATGGCTGTTTTTCTTAACAGGAAGACATATGTGATTTTCCAGTTTCCTTCCTCATAAAAACTTAAGTCCTCTAGTGTAACCATGCAGCTTGATGACTGGCTGTGCCTCAATTTCCAGAAGAGATGCAAACGTCTTGCAGTAAGTCACAGGAAGACTGGCATGTTAGGTCTGTGCTCAGTGAGCCACAAGGATTTCACATTTTTTTGTTTCAAGGAATTCAAGGAGCTGCCTAGAATATTTCAAACACTGGTTTCTGACTGTTTAGAGAGCACTTCTCTTCCTGTACATAATTTCCTTCAGTCATAATTAGTATCCCCAGAAGCCCTCAAATCAAGATCAGCCTCCTGAAAACTAAAGGTTGATCAATTCTGATTGGAGACACTTAGGCTCTATGTCCAGAGAAGAAGGCTGATGACCATCAGTGTATGTTTTAAATTATACGTTCTTACACAGGACATTCCTAATAACTAAAACAGGTAAGGTGAGGTATCTTCTCTGATTTAGTTTAGGTTGATGGGGATATTATTTACTTTCTCATATTTTCATGTTAGTAATGCACAAGTATTACCGAGACAGCCAAAGGACAGACAGGAAAAATAACTTCATGAAAAACGTCTGTGGAGAATACTCCAGTCCAGCTGTGGTATATTATCAAGCTGGCCTTGCAGCAATTTGAGAGAAAAAAAGGCTCTGACTGCAAATGGCCTGCCAGTGTCTGAAAGCAACCATTTTAACTCTCCATGTACAAACATCTACTCTTTGAATGAAAACCTCTTCAACACACATCCAGCAAGTGATCATATGCATGTGTAACATCAAAACAGATGTCAGAGGTTCTAGATCATTCTATGATGTTTTTTATAATGTTATCACTACGGGTTTTTTGCAGGTGACAAATAACATAAATCCTCATTTACAATTGCAGTGACAACAGCGTGAAAAGATGTATATTTTGTGTCAGAACATGTAAATGGCTTTTAAGGACTACATAATATATACTAAATGCATACACAAAGTTTACATCCATAGTGAGGATAGATAAGGATAGTTCTCCTCAGATGGGAAACCGCAGCATGAAACATCAATTGAATCAGATTGTTTCTAACAGGGTTGGACAGACACGGGTTCGATATAGCCTACTCCATTCAAGGTCAAACTCTCAATTTAAACTTGAAGAAAATTCCTCTCCAGTGAGCCATAATCCTTATACTGTTAAAACTCTTAGTCCAGTGATGAAGGCTTTGATTGCTTTAATTATGACCAAAATACACTAAGAGAAACTTCAGAAAGCGCTGTCAGGACCTAGAGTAAAATTTAAACCATTTCAGTTCCTTTGTTGGAAGGAGAGCTGATGAACTGGGAGAATAAAGAGGGATGAGATCAGAGGAGTGAAAGTGAAACAGTTTAACTATCTTCCAATAGTAAGATAAGCAAACCAATTAAAAGGATTGTCATCCTGTAATTACCAGAGAGCTCTGTATTACAGAGGGAGCTGAAGCTCTGTTGCACAACAAACAGTCATGCTTGTAATTTAATATGAATAATGAGCCAGATGCATGAACAAGACTATTAAATTGTTATCACAAGCAGCCATGTCCCTCATTGATTAATGACTCTGTGTGTCACCAAGGAAAGGAACTCCATTTTTAAGTATGGATCAGCATCATCAATGTTGCCAAAGCAACCGTCTGACTGCTTTTGACTTACCCCTGAATGTGGCAATTAAACCATTATAAGAGGAAACAAAACAGTGATTATTCTCTTGTGTGGAAAACTGAAGACTATTAAAGAATAAGGGACTTGGGAAGCCAGATTTGTTTCCCAAGATAAATGCACCTGTGCAAGAACCATGTTGAAGGTCAGGCATTCTAAGTACAAAATAAATCATGGTCCCCCCACTCAGTTTCAAATTCTATGCTAATCATAAAATCTTGAGTAGTTTCACACACTAGTAGAAATCCAGCAGAACCAGCAGAAAGACTTGAATTAAAATAAAACAGGCGTTAAAAACACTTATTTTACAGTAAATAAAACCAACTTGCAGAAGACAGTTAAGTAAGAAAACAGGTGAATTCTTTACATATGCTTTTTATAGAGAGAATATTTACATAGAGAGAATACGTATGTGCATATATGCAGATAAATGAATATACATGCCACTTGATTCATACAAAAATTTATGCTTGACCCTGTGTTTGGGGTTTTTTTTGTTATTATTTGTGTGCGTTTTGTTAATTTAAGATTGATACAGAATGCTCTACCAAAAGTAGTTACAACCTGGCTTCTTCCAACTTACAAGCTTCCCGAAGTTTTTCCTTGTCGTAGTGTAGCCCCTCATATTCTTGCAAATTAATCCTGTTCACTCTGATCCGCAGACGATCTGGGATGGAATGAGGACTGCAAGAGAAGAAAGCTCATTAGATTAAATGTTCTATGGAAGAGCAAAACAAAAATAGATTATGAAGCAGTTTTAGTCTTCTCTGAAAGAAGAAAATAGCAAGCCTCTTCAAAACCGGGGCAACTCCTCACAAGCATTTAGAATTATGACTACCCACCCCACAACAACATAGATATTAGACCATAAATGACAAACAGGATCAAGAAGTCCATCTGCTGGATGTGTGGTCTGGAATTACAGAGGTTTTTTTCCGAGTTCTCTAATCTCTATATATCTACCCCTCACCTCTGCAGTTTTGCCTTTTTGTACAATCCTAAGGCCCTACCACAGCCAGTAAGTCTGCCAACCTGCGTTTCAGGATACAGATGCTTTCTTGGGAATTTTCTCAGGACGACCATTCCTCTGCCCGTGAGAACATCCCCTCTCATATCCCTAGAGGATCCCCATTCAGCATTTCTGTTCTGGGAAACAGTCAACAAATATGGCTAAGAAATGACTTTCCGCAGTGGTGAGTCCAATACACAGAATCCAGGACGACTTTCAAAAGCAAGTAGCTGCACCAGGAACATCATTTCTACAGATTTCAGTCAGATTTAGATGCCTCAACTGTCTGTATAATTTTGAAACACTCAGTGAGTCCCTATCTATAAATTTAAAGTGTCCATATATTGATAGAAAGTTGTCCTGAAAACCTTTGTTTTGATTTCATGCTGGCTTCCACCTTATTGTAACCTATTGCTTGAGTTTGTAAGTTTAGATGAATGCTATGTAAATTAACTTGGCTATATTTGCATTTTCCACTTTTAAAGAAAGACAGATAACCTGTGTATTATAATGCATATATCAAACATCTGTCCCATAAGAAACAGCCCCTAGCTCAGTTAGCAGTATATTCTTTATCCTCTGTCTTCCACTGGAAGACCTTCTATTTTCTCTGTTTTAATCTAGCTAGTAACAGAACTCTGCCAGTGGTATGACCACCAAATATACACCCTGTCTTTTAAAAGTTGAAATAGCATGCACTGCCATAAATTTACAAGTGGTTTTTTGTTTATCTCAGTTTTAAGATGTTTAACCCACAGCATTTACATTGCTAATTTAAACTCCAATCAGGGCAAGCCACATTTCAAAAATGCAAGGTTTTTCTTTCTTTTTTTAAGTGAGCACTTTTTTCGGACCTGAAAATGCTGCAGACCTGACAAAACACATGGTTTATGGCCATCTCCAGGTAGAACCTTTGGGATTAACAATTATTTCAGCCTTAAATTAGCACATGCTTTCTCTCTGATGGTTTAAACAGTTCTATCACATCTGGACAGATGAAAATAAATATTAAAAATCAAGTTCCAGTTAAAAAAGAAAAACACTTTTGCCACAAGGACTCTGCCTATAAAGGGATAAAGGATGAAGAATTGAGGGTGCCTCCAAAATTGGAGTTTAAGACAACATGCTAGAAGGAGTTGCACTGAAGAAATTCATATTCTGAATGGGAGTTTCTATATTAATGATGAAAACAAACCTAAGATGCATGAAGAATAGCTTCGAAGAAATTATAAATGCTTAACAGTGGCAGCAAGACTGACATGCTCAGGAACATACAGGCTGCCCAATGTTTTTCCTGTGCTGACTGAGAGGGACTATTGCATCAAAGTGCCCCAAGATATCACCAAACTGCCCACATTTAAGATAATTATGGGCTGATAATTTCCAGCACAGCTTCAGGGGGCAGCTGTGTAACTCAGGTACCCTTACATCATCCTACAGAATAGTACTCTCCACCTGCAGGCTCTATAGCTGGCTCAGCAACCCAGAGAAGATGAGTGTATGCAAATGGAGAGGAAATGTGTATAGAAGGAACAAGAATATAATTGCACTGAGTCTGACACTTTTTTCTTCCTTTCTTTTCTTTTTAAGACAAGCTTAAATGTCACCTTGCTGGCTGAGAAATGAACATAGTTTGAAGAACTACATTCTCTTCCAAATTCTATAAAATGCAATTCAAAACCAAAAATTATAGAAGATTTTTAGTCAAGAAAAGATAAGAAAATGTTTAAGTCAGAAAACATAGGAATTTAAATGCATAGTCTTTGTCTGAGGGGAGAAAAGAAATAATTCCCTGCATGTAGTAGGGTTCATGAAAATGACAGACTGACGGCTCTGAAAAGTGAAGTCTTTTATGCACTGATACAATACAGGAGAAGCTACATTGCTTTTCCCATAATGTTCTGCCACTGTGCATGGTGATGAAGGTAGCTCAGTCTTCCAGCTGATCGGTTCACAACCTGTGGATTGGTGGCAGGTGTGGGGAAGGGACTGCTTGTAAATTACCTCTACTTCTTTGAGCTTAGCTGGCAGGAAAAGTGGTAGGGAGACAGAATCCAGCAATTGCTTGTTATGGTTTGAGAAATGCACAGTAATTTATTGTCGTTCAGACAATTTTTCTATCACGCAATGACTCCTCCCAACCCAGGAAGGAGAATTGGAGAAAAAGAAAAACATGAAGGTTGAAATATAAACAGATTTAATAGAGTAAGACTAAATAATTAGCTTCAATAATACTAAAGAACAAATATTGATCCCAATGACAATATAAAATATACAATTATTATACTCAGCCAATTCTACCAGCAGGAAGCTGTGCACTCCCAACGGGGGACAGCAAATGTTGGACACTGTGAGCGCTATGGTTTCAGAAGGAAGGGAAGTGCTCAGGGGTGCTTCAATAATACTAAAGAACAAATATTGATCCCAATGACAATATAAAATATACAATTATTATACTCAGCCAATTCTACCAGCAGGAAGCTGTGCACTCCCAACGGGGGACAGCAAATGTTGGACACTGTGAGCGCTATGGTTTCAGAAGGAAGGGAAGTGCTCAGGGGTCCAGCACTGGGACAAGAAGTTCTCTGGATCACAGCCATTAAGGGAGAGAGAGAACTTCATAGCAAACTGTCTAGTTTATATTGAATGTGAAATTCATGATATGAAATAATACTGTTGGCCAGCTTGTGTCAAGCGCCCGGGTCTCACTCTTCCTCATCACTGTGCCTGGCTAGACTTGAAAACACTGAGACACATCTCATAGCTGGCTATGAAGTAAATCTTTTCACAAATTCAGATGCTAGAGTCTTCTAAAAGTGCAGTATCCTAAGCATTAGAACATAAATTAGTTCTGTGTCACTCAAACCAGGACACTGTTCTAACACTTGACCATGCTACAAAGACAGCCATCCTTACTCTGTACTAAATTAAGCCAAGTGTAAACCCAACCCAAAAAAACCCCACACCTGTCTCAAACTGTTGTTTCTCCTGAAACCAGAATGAAATCTTTACTTGTATGATGAAATCTTTGAGCAACCCAAGCTGGAACTCTATTAAAAATATGGTTTCCAATCATCAGTTCAAAATAACCACTTGACCAAAAGCTGATACTCCTATGCAAGAATTACCCAGTCCAGCACAGGGAATATTTGCCCACCAAACCAGAACCACACCATTTCTTCCTTGCTACAGGTCTCCTCTACATATGATGCTCAGACCCTCCCTTCCCTTCTGTGACCATGTGCTGCAGTGTCCAGTGCTGCTCTCCATATTAGAGGGAAAACAGGTTAGCATAAGAACCTTGCAGCTTCGACATGAACTGTAATCTTAATTCCCAATAGAAGATCACCAAGTCCTTTTATTTCCTTGATTTGTCCTTTTAGATCTTTCACAGAAAATATCTGAGTGATAATTTTCTTTCAAACATCCACTGCATCCCATCAGCCTGGCTTCTCCAGCTACCCACTGGTGTTCTTCACTGTTAAGAGATTAATTTGTTTCTGTATTTTTGTACTACAGCAGCAAGATCTCTAATACTTCTCACTCACAATTTCACTACTTCTCCTTCTACATATCAGCCTTCCTCCTGTTCCTTAGGTGCATGTCAGGACAGGAGTGTGCATGATACAAGGACCTGGAGACAACCTATGCTCTATTGTGGGAATACTGGGGACAGGGCAGATAATCCTCTCCCAAGCTTTCATGGGTGCTTGTCTCTGTCATGCAATTGTTTCCATTTCCAGATATTGAGTTGTTTCAACTCAAGCAAGCCTGGGGTCACTGAAAAACCCATAACTTACTTAATAATTTTTTATCTCACCCAGAAGAATCATCATTGAATCAGAAGTGATTTTAAAAGCTGCTGTTTTAATATTTCTGTTCAGTACTTATATGTAACTATCACGTTTGAGTTTTCAGAAATCATATTTTTTTCTGTGGTTCCTGGTTTAGTTAAGGAACAGGAAGGGGAAAAAAAGGAAGGAGTGATGTAGCCAAGTTTACACACTTGATTGTTGACAGAGATAAGAATTCAGCAGTACTCTTCAGCCCCAAATTCAATCCCTTATTCCCAAGGCCATCTACTCATTCTTCCCCAAGGCCACCTCTATTAGGGTAAAAGTTAGGTTTTTAATAACAGTACAGCGATCTTTTGTGTTGCTTCCTCCCTCCCCCCAGCCCCAACTTTTTGGTTCTCTGGGAAGATAAAAAAAAAAAAAAAAAACAACAAAAAAATATTCAGAAGCTTCCATGGAAGGATACGTTGTCTAAAAAAACACTCTGATTTTGGTTCTCTGGGAAGATAAAAAAAAAAAAAAAAATCAGCAGAACTGTCCTCCTTTTATAGTGATTTGCTGGTAAGAACTCGTTTGGCATAAATATACTGGAAAAGTTATGTAAAAGCAGTTATGGTGGTGCTTTTTTGTTTCTCAGTGTCTAAGCACTAGTTCAAACATGAACTTTCTTGGCAATGATTATCAATGAATTAGTGGTAGTCTTATGTCCTCCCACACAACTGGCCTCATTTCAAATGCATCATTGTAATGGGTAATCTGGGTACCTCATGAAAGGGGCAGAAGAAAGGAAGACAGGGAAACAAAGCAGCTTCTCAAAGTGTATGTTTGAAGCCTTTATGTCAAAGTAAAAGGATGGTCATGTACCCTATATTCAGTGCTCA